AAGGGAACTTTTAATGATACAGGAAAGAGATTATGGAGAATTTCAGTTAATTAGAAACCAATCATAAGAAATCAGGAGAATATCTGTCAAATATGAGGTTTACAACTCACTGTTATCATTTTTATTCTTTTTATTTTTTTTCCTATGTGGAAATGAGTTTTTCATTGTGTTAATAGTAATGCCTAATAGCCGAGTCTTGTAGCGCAGACTTGTAACTAAGGAGGACATTACTAGTACAAAAAATAGTTTGCGTGACGTAGGTACCTTCGTTGCACAAACTCAAAAAACATTGCCTGAAAATTAGCCCAATGAAACCTTAGTCACGTACCAACCGTCGCGCCTAGTGAAAGTAGGGTTTGCGCAACGCAGAAGTAACATGCGTCTGTCTTTGCGCGATGTATGTCCCTATGTCGCACAAAACTATTTTGCACGACGAATAAGTAACCTGTGTCGCGCAAACCCTTTTTTTTTTTTTTTTGGCAAAAATAATTTTTATTTAATTTTTAATAAATATTGTAATTAAATTCTAAACAATAATTAATAAACCAAGAAAAAGTATTTAATTATTAAATATATGAAAATGTATATACAAGTTGTTCGAATATAAAAGAGAAAACTACAACAATTAATCTTCTAGGCTTGATGCATCAGGCTACAGGGTATCAGCTTAGCGAAGTGGTTAGGACGTCGAAGGTGGAGCAAGATCAGGTGTTGGCATTGAAATTTGGAGGCAGAACATCTGTAAGGCCCGTAAGATCATACTCATCTTCTCGTCGTGGGCCGAAAATTGGGCTGCAATCTCGGCTTCCCGAGCTGCTGCCTCGGCCTCCCGTGCTGCTTGTTGGATCGTAGACTGACCTTTTAGGGTTACCGCTTCCTCCGTCAGGGCGATGACCAGTCTTGTGGTCAATCTGGAAGATGAGGCACCTGTCTTACCAACCCGTGCCTTCCCCATACACCGAACAACCTTACCATGACGACGACCGAGCTTCTAAGCAATAACAACGAGTCACTAAACTAGGAATGCTAAATAGCCATCAAACTAGGAATGTTATATACCACCATAAATCCACTTGCAAATATGATTCACTAGTCACAACAAAAATATCCAATTTCTGAAAACTGCATTGAACCCAAGTCCTAATATTTCACCAAACACAAAAAATAAAATCCAAGAAATGCCCTCATAAGCAACAAACCTTATATATCCAAACAAATTACGATTGCATATATTTAAAGACAACCGATTAAATCAAATTAACCAATAGAACAACCCATGTAAAAAGATAATACGAAAACACAGAAGCAGCAACAAAGGAATATTTGTATCACTAATTCTCTCAGATAAGCCAACACTAAGCAAAATCCAATGAATGCCAAGATACAAACATGTTTTCCTGAATCTAATCAGAAGACCAGGTATGCTTAGATTGAGGAACCTAAGGTTAATGCACAAGAAAAATGAAGAGAAATATACTTGGAAGGGAATATTTGCCACAATCTAATCACCGAAAATAATGCAGCTTGTTTTAAAATTTCAACACATGCTTAGAACAAATTGCTTTCATGAACACTAACAAGACTGTCTGCTAAGAGAAACATCAAAATAAGAAATCAACAAAAGATCAACTACTTATATATCAACCGGATTTACAACCCAATTCAAAAGAATTGGGGTTTAACTTCATGACCATGTCCATTTTCATTTTTGGGAAACGACCCACTAATCGAGCAATCTAATTGAAATCTGAATTCCGATATCAAAGGTCAAACTACAAATGCACAACATGACCATAGAATCCAAGGGAGAAACTGTACAGAAAGAAATAGAAAGACTTACGTTTATCTCCGATATTGTAACCCCTAGCTTAGCAGACAAATTTTTCTTGAACATAGTAAACTTGGGAGCCAAGTCCTTTGTAGCAGGGCCACCATCAACAACAAATTCATTAAACCTACATATACAGATGTGCCATCAACATAAAGGAACATGATATTGTTTTAATTTTTAAACACATGAAAGTGCAAGGAAATATTTGACAATCTCAACAATAAGCCTAGCAAAGTCATGCATAATTCTTGCAATATAGCATGCAAACGGATACACAGCAAGGCTATAAATAATATGTAAAAGTTAAAACAATAGCAAAACCAATGGGTAAAGCACTCGAAGATATTGAAACTTAACAATATCAGGGCAGAAAACTCATGTGAGGAGTTACAAACTATAAACTGGAACTATAACAACTTTTATCTTGCATTCTTTTCTTTGTGAGTTAAACGTTGGCACATGTTAAAAACCTCCTCACTCTACATTGGTTAGAGCACCTCAATGGCCAATTCCTTGATTTCACATCTGTTGATTGGGACCCTATCAAGTATTTCCAAGAGAATAAAAAGAATTATCACTGTGCAAGAAATTTGGTACGTGAAAAATAAGGGACAAACATATGCTTGAAATGATGATCTTGCCAATAGGATTTGGTACAGTTTCCACACTATTCATGACTTGAATCACTGACAAATCATTATCAAGATCAAGTACAATTTTTCTTGTGAAGTATGCTTTGTACAAATAAATACATATTCTTTGGAAGAGTCAACTTTACCGGCATGCACTCTGACAAAAATTTTTCATGCATGAAAGAGGAATATGCAGTGATAGAATGGTGTATGCGTCTTTGGAAATGGTAGTGATTAGCTAACTGTGGCAACAATTGTGATTGCTCAGACGTTAGCAAAATGGTACTAGTTGCGTCAGAAAAAGACAATGTAGTGAAGAACAATGCGAGAGAAATGATAGATGAAAAATCACGATTTAACGGTTATTTTTACTCTGATTTTGATTATTTTTTATAGCTACACTTCTTGATCCTATATGAATACAATGAATGAATTCAATCTTCAATTTAAAATATTTACACTAGTGGATACCACAAAATCTTATGTTATACTTAATGAAAGTATAAATAAACTCTAAGTGTTAGTGAATTTATCGTTTTGATGGAATGTGCATCCTACGAAACTAATTTCAATGATCCAACTGTCAAACTTGTTTGTATATGCTTCGAAATCGCATACACCAAAAATCGCAAAAAAAAAAAAAAAAAAAACATTCAGAGATCAAGTAACGGGACAAAACTTTTCGACAATTATAAACAAAAAATCACAATTTAACGGTTATTTTAACTCTGATTTTGATGATTTTTTACAGCTACACTCCTTGATCTTCTATGAATACAATGAACTAATTTGATCAACAATTTAAAATATTTACACAAGTGAATACCAAAAAATCTTATGTTATACCACAAAGTCGTTGACTTTGCGCAACGAAGGTGTACATTCATCGCGCAAAATAGATTTGCGCGACGTATTTGCACCACGTAGTTGTACATTCATCGTGCAAAATAGCTTTGCACGACGTAGGTGCACCTTCGTCGCGCAAAGGACGTTTGCGCAACGCGGCCTGTGCGTCGCGTAAGATTTTGGAGCCAAACCAACACTTTTAACGTTTTTTTCCCAACATTGCATGACAACAATCTTCATCGCGCTAAGTTCCGTTGCGCAAAATACCTTTGCGTGACGTTTTGTTGTCACTGTTGCGCAAACATACTTTGCACAACGTAATTTGCTCAGTCGTGCAAGTTGTTGTCACACAAGTATGTTTTTGTACTGGTGAATTAAAGCGATTGATGGGTGATGAAGCCTTGGTCAAGTAAGGCATGGTTGGTTAAAATCTGTTCACCACTCTTGTTAAGTCACTTTAAGCATGCCCTAAACCCCTTGGGTTAGTAGGAGCGCCCCACCCTTGCGCATGGGGTAGCAAACAAATAATAAGGTCCAATCCAATTCGTTTTCACTTGGTCATTTGCATTTAGCTTTTTTGTGTCCGTCGTGCTAATACTACAAATAAAAATCAAATTTGCGACGAAAGTGTTTAGTCACAAAAAGAAAAAGAATTGTCGCTGAAGATCATCATCTTAAGGGTTTCATACTTGCTGAAAGTGCAAATCAATTATATAGTCGTTGATTTTTGGTGGTTCAACTTGAATCACAGTAAATATGCTATGAAAGTGATTTTAAATTGTTAAAATCTTACTGAACAATTCAAACCAAACAAATTGATGTCTTTTTCTTTTCTGGCAAGATCACAATCAGTCTATTTATCCCATTCACTGATGATTTTTTTGTTTGTTTTTGTTTTTGTTCTAGTCCCATTCGATAATTAGCTATACTCTCACGCTGTTTAATCACAAGATTAGTCTCGCTAGGATGAATGAAAAAATATTAGACTTTTGATCGTACAAAATATCTTCATCCTTTCTGTCTACTTTGTCTTAATTATTTGAAATCATTCATTTTTATTACTGTGAACTCTAAATTATTGGGGGTTGATATTGCTAGACACTAACTTGTTAACTTGCATACAGTAGGAATTAAAATCATTTTGAATACTGAGTTCTATATCTAGTATACTAAAATAAGAGTGAATTTTTCACTTTTATAGTATCGGAAAAGTATGAGTTTCTCGTTAAAATTCACAATTATATACCTAAAAATCATGAAGTAGATCAACTAGGGGACTAGTTGATCCGACTCTCTATTTCTACTTTTATTGTTAAGTTCTCGGATTCATTCTTAATCTCATCTACCAAGTAAATATGCCCAAGATTTTAAGGTCTTTTTAAGGGGAAAAGTTTCATGGTGTTCTAGTCCAACAATACCTATGTTATCTGTAAATCTCTTATCGCCTTCTACAGTACAATGTTACACATGTAAATCTCGAATCTCTGTCTACGTGCGATTATATTATTAAACCGAAACACAAGAAATGATTCATGTCTTATAAATTGCTCCTGTTGAATGATAACTCGTTTCTGACAGTGGGCAACTAAAAGACAATTGTCACAACTCACAGGTGAGCAACTGTGTGATCCTTTTGCATGAATGGAAAGTGGCGTGAATCAGAACCATTCCTTTCTGTAGAACAACAAAACAGAATAATGCTTTCACTTGATATTTATCGGTACATTGGTACAATTGAAAGCAATAAATAAACGCCAAAGCAACATACAATAAACTAAATCCGGAGGGCCTTGGACGCACAGCAGCTACTCTTGCACAAGTGGGATCCATCTCTAGGCCCTCCAACATAGTCCATACAAACTGTTTATAACTGAAAAGGACAACAAATATATTAACTTATATTATATGCAGCCAGAAGGAGCCATTCTTCCTGTAACGACACATGTGAACATTAGTTTTTCTTTCTGTGCTCGCGATTTGTAGATACAGAAGAATGATTCAGTGCAAACTTTCTTGCAAGTCGAGCTTTAGCACTCGGGTGTTTGAGTATGGTCTCTCTTAGAATCATTGCAATAGTCATAGACCAAGTAGTTCCTCTGCACCCATTCCATGGCCGAGTACTGCTGCTGACTAAGACCCGACGCACCAGACGGTGAGGCGGAGGGCGGTTGGCATGAGGTAGGGCTATCGGATTTACACCCACCAAGTTTGAAATTCTTGTACTTGCCAATAAACGGTTGGTACTTGTAGTCGGCTTTGTATTTTCCACCCTCCGTGGCCCATGATGAAGCATCCCATATGGATCCATATGCCCACATCGGCCTCAATGGAAATGTGGCATCACTCTTTCTCTGGTACCTTCTTATGGGCACATCATCCACCAGGAATCTGCAAATTGATTATATTATATCATTGGTGTACTTTATAATATGCAAATCTCACCTCACAACCCTCTATAGATTAATAAAGATAAATGTAAAGCGATATTGCATGTATTATATACTGATCATCATATTGTTAAGCACGCTGTATTTTGAAGTGTTCGATAATAGGTAACATGTCATATAAATCTTGCTTCTGTGAAAGATTTAATTAGTAATGTGATAGTTAAAAATGTAGTCTAACTATTGAAATACATCACAAGAAGTAATTATCACGTATATTAACTTAATAATTACTTCAGCTTATAGACAAAGTTAAAAGTTTAGGTTTAGCATTTTCAGATAATAATTTAGGTTTGATATAACAACTCAATCAATATGAAAGATCTTAAGCCAAATGAAAACAAAAACAAAAATAAAAAGGGATCGTGTTTGATTATCATTTAGTTTAATTTTACTTTTCGTGCATGAAATTTTAAAAAAATGATTAAAGGAGATATGTACAAGAAATGCATGATACACAAAAAGAAAACTAAAAACAAAAAAATATCTAATAGTTATCAAAAGAATCCAAGAACTTTTTCTTGATAAGATCAGAAATAATAATTGTGTTTCACGGTTCCCCTACTAAACGGTAGAGGACAAGAAACTAGACAGTTTGGCTTGATATTTACCATACCTAAAAACGTACATGTGACATGCATGTACAAAGGTACAAGATTTTACAACTGTGTGGTACTACTATATACTCACATGATCTCAGTAGGGTTCCATACTATAGCGTAGTTATGAAAGTCTTGTGCTGGATCAAACCAGAGATGGAATTGCTTCTCTCTTCCAATTATTGTTCCATCTCCACTGCCTCTAATGTACACATTGGTTTGCAGAGTATAGGGCTTATCAGGAGTTGTACCAAGGAACTCAATATCAATTTCATCATGGTTGCCCGGAAGTTCTTCATTGTTAGAGAGCTGTAAAAACCAATAAAAAAAAAATTAGACATAACCCAATTTTCACTTTTTTATTGAATTCAGGAATTTAACAATAAAATTTCAAAGTTTGCAAGAGAAGTGATATCGGCACACGCCTTTTCTCCTCTATATACATGTTTATTCTACCCTTGAATAATATAAATGAGAGAAAAATTAAGAGACAAATATATAAATAAGGTTGTACAGAAGAAAACAAAATGTGTGTAGAAGTCGTTTTGCTAGTGCAATTATCCAAGCAGAGTCTCACATAAAATGAAGTAATCACTCCAGCAGTGTAACCAGGTTGGAGCTTAATGGCTGCACCAAAATATCCAGAACGGTACGGATAAAGTGACTTGAACCCACTTCCTGAAACATGTAAAAAATGCAGCAGATGATAAAACAATCTGAGAAATCCGACCAAAAAAGATAAAACAATCTGAGAAAATAAGCACAAAAAAGCACTCAACTGAAGTACACAAAAAGCAAGAAAACATGCCAAAAAACCAATGAGAAAAGAAGTGAATCTTGCAGGATTGAGTACCTGAGCTAGAGTCAAGCCAGATTGTTAAAGCACCATGGTCTAAATTTTGATGCTGAGGACCCCAGAGGTTTCTGAAAACCTGATCAAACCCTAGTGTACTAATTTTGGAACTAGGGTTATAGCCGGGTGAGGGGGGGCCCTGAGAAATGCTTGAAGAAATCATTAGGAAGAGAAAAATTAAGAAGATGAGAGGAGCCATGAAGACTGAACTGAGAAAAGAAATTCGAGAAGGAAATGCAGCAAAAACAGAGGCGTGGGGCAAGAGAATTATAAAGGCAGGTATGCATACGGAAAGAGTAAGGTTTTACGGTTTGGTATAAATGGAGTGATCTGTAGGCCCCACATTGCAAAGGTGGAAAGTTGGTTGATTGGGAAGTTATGCACGTAGACAAAAAATTTACTATAAAAGAATAATAATATGAATAAAAAATGGTTCAACTTGTGGAATAGGGTTTTTGACTTTTTTTCCGTTTCCCTTAGATTTAGTGAAAAAGCTTCCATATAATACCGGAAATATTGTTAGTTGTAAGTTATGGTTGCTTACTGAGAGAAGCAAAGGTTAACTGTTTAATTTGTTTGCTTCATGACAGGTCTGCTTACCTTGTAGTTATGTCACAGATTTCAGAGAGAAAATGGCCTAAACAGCTTAAATCTTGGACGTGTACATATATGCACGTTCTTTGTGATCCTGACAAGCATGAAGGAGCTTGTGGACATGTATAAAAGGTAAAGAGCGGGAAGTTATGTAGCCCCATGTTTTGGAAACTATGTACATTTTCAGGAAAAAAGTATCGGCCAAGTTAATGAAATCTTGGTTGATCTTACTTTTGGTTTAAACCCTTTTCCTTTTGAGTTCTCCAAAAATGGATAATACATTCTAAATTCCTTTGGAGTAAGAAATGTTACATTTCACAGTTTGATGATGTATGCAATTGTAGTATTGTGCTCTAAAAATTTGATTGGATTATACAAACAGAATGCAATGACTTGTAGCTCAATTGATTAACCACATTTACCTCGTAGTAGAGGTATGTATATCGTTTGTATAAAAAGAAAGAGAAATTGTTTTTAGTAGCCCTCTTGTAAACCAAAACCCTGCTCGCAAACACTAATCAACACTAGCCCTCTCCTTATATCATCATATTGATATACCGCTTATAATATATTGCTACACACCTATTTTTACTTTTTATATATCTTTATTAATTTTTTATCATTATTTTTTTTTTAATTTATTCGTTCTAACAGTAAAAAAAAAAATATATATATATATATATAAAATAAAAATAAGTATACTATTAAAAACAATTACTTGAAATTAATTACTTATGAAATAGCATGCCTGTGGATATAGGTCTTGTTCTCTATTCAAGTTGTCATGATGATGACGTGAAACATGGGATACCGTAAAATATACCTACTCCAAATTCCAAAGACTATTATTTTATAGTTTTTACTGCTAATCATGTTTAAGTTTTCAAAAATTCATCCACAACGTGAAACGAGTGCGATACACATAGCCAACAGGATCCTCTCCGGATCATTTTGATGAGAATTTTTGGAATTCGTAAATCGTGTTCGTTTATATTCATTGTACAATTTTTGTCGGATACTGTTTGGGTTTAATTTTAAATAAAAATATTTAAAATGATTTCTAATCGTACGATATACGATGAACAGACACGATTTACGAATTTCTAAAATCCTCACAAAGAAAATTCAACCAACATCATACACATAGCAGTCACAGTCACGTAGTACACAGAAAATCCTGCAAACCCTTCACTATTTTGCTCTAAATTACAAAACTAAACAGTCAAAAGACAAAAGGAATCATAATACCATTGGAATTCTTTTTAAAATTTTACCGTCGGGCTTGTGTAATTTTCAATAAGCAGGCAAAGTAATCACTTTTACAATTTTACAGAACCTACTCTAAACCCTAAATCAGTATATGTATATACACACACAAAAAACTAATGTCATTATATTGATGTAATGGACTTGTGGGGAGCTTGCAGAAGCCAAAGCAGTTCATAAATTGTTGAGGTAGGTAATGTGAATCAATATTTGATGAACAACCTGCGCAGGACCAACGGCCACACCTCACATATGTATTTTTTCTTTAACTTTTTCCAACCTTACTTTTGACTAATCATCTCCATATTACCCAAAAAAGAGAGCTTACTTTTAGCTATGTCCCTGAAACTCGATTTTAATCTCGCTTTATATCTTGCAACTTAAAAATTGTCATTTTACTCTTAGAAACTCAAAGTTTTCTTACTTTGCCCTCTGGAACTCAATTTTGATCCTATTTTACCCCTGAAACTTGAAAGTTATCTTTTTAAAACTAAAAATTGACTCCACGCTACCTTAGGTTTGTTAATTTCTTATGTGGGTTTGATTTGGGTGCGTCAGGCTACTCAATTTCGTTTTTATTTTTTTCATCTCTTCAATTTCTTTTAAACTTAATATTCTTTTATTATTGAATGTAAATGCATAAGGAAGATTTATAATCAACTTTATTACACATGTGGAATAGTTTTATTGGGTGTTAGGTCCCACAGATGTTTTAGGAGGCGAATTATAAGTTTAGGGAGAAGAGAGAGTCCGCAAGTTAAAGTAGATCGAATTTTAAGTTTCAAGGAATAAAGTGGTATATTTTAAATTACAAAAGGTAAAGTGAGATTCAAATGAAATTCTAAAAGTCGTAACTGAAAATAGGCCGAAAAAATACAATAAATCTTTCTTTGGGTTTTCAAAACTATTTTGGGCTGAGGCATATGGGCAGACGGACCCTACTAATATCAAAGACATATGGGCTTTAAACGAAACATGTTCAATCATTGTCTGTAAACTCGTCCTCAAAGGCTAAAAACCCAGACAAGTTTTGCCTTTCTCTTTTTCACGAATATAATCTTAATATTGGGTTTGAAATCGTTTGATCATCGTCCTCCTCGGTAAAAAATCAAGCAATTCAACGCAGAATTTAGTTCCTTGATCGAAAAAAAAAAAAAAAAAAAAAAAAAAAAAAAAAAGATGGAGAGGGTGATGAACGTAATAAAACCAAAGGCAAATCCACAGCAGCAATTGAGAGATTGGCAGCGCAAGCTTCGCCAAGAGTGCCGCAACATCGAACGACAAATTCGAGGTAAATTTCACCATAATTTTCATTTTTCTTAAAAAATTTGGATTGTGGGTTAATTTCTAATTTTCTATGATAGTTTAGGTTCATGGGTCGTGAAATTGGATTAATGGGTAATTTTAATTTTGGTTGTTTTGCAATGGGCTTTCTTCAGATATACAAAGAGAAGAGAAAAGCGTGCAGAAAGCAATCAGAGAGGCTTCCAAGAGAAATGACATGGGTTCTGCAAAGGTACCATTTTTTTCCCTTTTCAATTTGGTTTGGCCAATGTTTTGCTCTTCAAATTCTCCAATTTTATGCATTTTGTTTTAGCGCTGTTAATTTTGATGACTTTCTTGTCTCTGAAGTTTCCTTTGATTTACCCCAAATCATAGTAGGCTCTGCAGAATACATGGTTCGGTTAATTCGAAAGAAATGGGGTAGTAAAATGTCCAGCCATCGTGATATTGCTGTTTTTCCAGGGGAAAGAAATTAACCCAGATAATTTTTTACATGATGGTAATTTATCTTTCGTACTTGGAATTGGAACTTATAAATGATGTATTTTCGGAACCTGAGTTTTTCTATCGATACTTTTGTGATTGTGCCTATTAAATGTTAAAAGTACGGATTATGATCACTGCGATCGGATTCTGTGTTGTGTTATAGTTTATGAAATTGAGAGAATATATTTCTGATTAGTTTGTTAGTTTAGTTGCCGGCTGTTGTTTGACTTACTCCCTGTGGTCATCCTTCTTCCCTTCTGTATATTCAGTTATCTACTTTGTGTTAATTATTTCAGTCACTTGCTAAAGAAATTGTGAGATCTAGAAGGACGGTGAACCGTCTTCATGAAAATAGGGCACAACTGAATTCAATATCAATGCACCTTGGGGAGAGTGTTGGTAAGTCTGTAATACCTAAAGGTTATGGCTCGATATGCTTGTATAAATTCCATCACCAGCTCATTTCGTAATAACCTCAGATTCCCGTTATTGCATGTTTAAATGTTTAAGTAGACTAGTTTCTTTTAGATTTTGAAACTGGAATATTATGTGTTATTGAATACTAATGTCATTGCATGTCTTAAACTAGAAATCTCTTTAGGTTGTTTTACGTGTAAAGGCAGCTTTATAGTGGATTGAAATGACAACTGATCCCTTCTTAGAGAAGACGATTCTTAGACTAGCACAACCTTGCAAGACAATGGGAAGTTAGACCTCTTTATAGAAGGTGATTCTTAGACTAGCAGTGGTGAAAAACAACGTGAAGTTAACGTATAACAAAATTGAAGACGAACTATTATTTAAATAGGAAAATTTAAATGTTCTGCTAGGGCATTGCATTGGTAAAACTAGTGAGTTAGGAAACTTGATTTTTCATTTTTGTGGTTATGATTACTAATCATTTACTCCCGTTTCTTGTTTTTTAAGGACTAACTCAGTTTATGGTTTTTGATAATATATCCTTGGGGTCTTTTCTCTTTTCCTTTTTTTCCGCGTTTGCTAATATGCTTAATTCATAATCACCTTTCGGAACTCTGGCCCGTTAACGTGAGTATTGGTGGTTGGTTTAATCATTTTCATTGTTCGTCTTTGATTCTGCAGCTATTGCCCGCACGGTGGGTCATTTATCCAAGAGTTCTGAGGTTATGAAGCTTGTCAATAACCTCATGAAGGCTCCAGAAGTGGCTGTTACGATGCAAGAATTTAGCAAGGAGATGACCAAGGTACTCCGTTATTTGTCATTCACTTACACAGAAGCACAAAGGTGACAGTCTTTCACTTTGGTAGTCACAGTTTTATTATACTCATAGAATATGCATTTGCAGCAACATTGTTCTCTATCAAGCGTAGACAGAATCCGAATGCTTTTAGTCCCCCCTTTTTGTCCCAAATGAAAGGTTTTTGGAAAATGTAACCGCAAATAAAATAGGTTTTGGGAGAATAGTTTTCTGACATTATGGCCTCTGTTAGATCTATTTGTTTGTGAGCTGTATATAGATGTTTCCTGCTTGAAGATTTAAATGTTATCATCACTTTATGTTTGTGAGCTGTATATAGTTTATTGAACCTCGTAACTTGTAAGGTCTTCTGGTCAATAAACAAATGGTGTTTTTTAGGTCAAGTAATAAGCAATGGTTATATT